AAGTCACAAGTATTTAAGAAGAAAGAAAGTCTATTAGAGTTATTGCTCCAAGATCCGAAAACAAGATTGCACAGAAATAAGCTTTTTGCTTCAAAGATCAGAAGACAAGATTTGTTCGTCAGAGGAGTTGTTGCTCGTAACTATGAAGACAGAGTCAAGGCTCTGAACACATCAAAAGAAAGTTTCTACCTCAGATTCGAAATTCAATATTTGTTCATCAGAAAAGTTGTTACTTCTAATTCTGAAGACAAAGTCAAGATTCTTAAGACTCGGGAACTTCGTGGAATATATGCACATAACTTTACATCATAAGTATTCCATTAGAAGATTGATCAAGGAAAGATAGATCTTATGGAATCATCACTTCTCTACATCATATAGTCTATCCGAAGACAAGATCAAGATTATATCTTCTCAAGCTAATCTACTTCATCAGAAGTCATATTCATCAGAAGACAGTATCATCAGAAACGAGCACAAGAAGAGTTAGTACAAAGAAACAATTACACATTCCTCTCAAATGGATGTATTGTGTATTATTTGTCTCCCACTATCATTTATTATTGTTATGGCAGCTGGCAATAAAAGTGACGTGTGTACTACTACAATAGTCTACTTCCTCAACACCTATATAAAGGATCAACTATTTATTTGCAAAATTGGAGAACTACAATACAAGAACAGTAACTCTGCCAAAACCAATACTTGAAGATCAAAGCAAAGAAAAAGAAGAATATTTAAACATAAGAGTTGTTGCTCATTATTGTGTTGATATTATTATTTGCTTGAACACGGGAGTTGTTGCACATCACTGTGTTGATATCACTATTTGTTAAGAATACAAGAGTTGTGGCTCATAATTGTGCTGTTACTACTTTTCTAAGGTGAATCTGGATAAATAATAAGTGTCTTTTTATTTCTATTTATGATTGTCATTTCTCTTCTAGCATTGATTCTGATTTTGATCATTTGTGAAAAACACTTCTAAAAGAAAAAGTTTTAAAACCCAATTCAAACCCCCTTTTCTTGTGTTTTTCTCATCCTTCACTGACATCCTTTCCCCCAAAGCATTAGATGACTTTTCTATTTCAAAAATGTTCATGTGAAAATCATGAATGCTCTCATTATCTTTCATCTTCGGATTCTCATACATCTTTACTTTAGATGTGCCTTCAGGTATAGGTGTTTATTAACCTGAATATGTTTTTGTCAACTCCATTGTGTAGGGCATTTAAGGATTTAAAATTTCCAAGAGAAAGTTCATCTTCATCTTTAGACCCAACCTCTTCTAGTTACAAATTCTCCTTATCATCCTTATCATTCACAACAGTATGGTCCCAACCCTTTATAACAGCTTTCCAAGTTTTGTTATCCAGAGATTTTAGAAAAGCCACCATATGAGCCTTCCAATAGTCACAGTTTGTACCATCTAAGAGTGGTGGTCTGTTATTTAACCCTTCTTTCTTTTCCATTGTACCAGAAAGTATCTTCCCTAGAGCTCACCCAAAACAGAATAGGGTGCCTACTCTAATGTCAATTGAAATTCTGGCACACAGATACTAGATATCGAATCAGATGTTACGACACTGATATCAGATCAATCACAACAACTAGAACAATTTTACAAGTGAAATAAAGTGCAGAATGTAAAGAACACAAATCAATTGTTATCTCAGTTTGGTGCAATGTCACCTACTCTGGGAGAATCTAAGCCAGGAGGAAATCCACTAAAATAGTATTAGTTTTAAGTTCTAAACAACCCATGTTTTAAAAACTTCTCACCTAATCACTACCCGTGCTATTTCTATCAAATACCCTCCTAGATATGAGACCCCTCTCACTTCCCTTCAGTCACAAACCAGTGACAAACTAACAATGATAACTAAAGTAGAAGAACATTCTTCAAAGACAAGCAATCAATTATGCTTAAAAGCTTATGGCTGATGAACAAAGATAACTTGACACACAATTCACTTTTGCTTAAAATCTTATGGGTGATTGATAAATAACAACTCAAACTTGGTCTAACTCTAATATCGAAGTGTTAAGAGAGTGGATCACAATGAACAAACAAACTAAAAATCCTAAACCCTTATCTCATGCACACGGCTTCTCCTAGTGTTTTTAGGTTTAAAAAGTCCTTATAAAAAGACTCTTGCAAGCATGGGCTTGGACTCTTCGTGCATATCCAATATTCCAGCTGCAAATCTTCTACAAAATCTTCTCCACAAAAATAGGAACAAAAATATAGAGTTTCCTAAAAAGTCTCCAAGGTCATTTTTATGAAACAAAAGCAATTTTATTATAGAATCAATGTTCCTAAAATAACCCTCCTTGGACTGCGACTCTATGAGAACTAAAACCATAAAGGAAGACTTTATGAGAACTAAAACCATAAAGAATCTCATATTTTAAAAACAAATCTTCCAAGAAGTAAAACCTAAACTGAACTGGTGTTCTGGTATAACATGTTATGACATCATGCTCAACATCTATCTTCAGTGATGTCTGATCAATATGTCAAGACATCGGTCACAATATCTTGTTGAGATACATGTTTTAGCAAAATTATTGTCAATCATAAAACCACAAACTTAACAAAGATTAATAAGGCAACTCACAAACACTTAAAACATCTTTCAAAATGTTTATATCTTAAAAATGATTTTCTAAGCCAAAATCAAGTGGTTAAAAAATTGTCTAAAACTTTTTCATACTATTTTTTAACTATCTAATCAATTGGTAAGATGCGTCAATTGATTAGTAAAACATTTCTAACCAACCAATAGATTAGAACATTATGCTAATCGATTAAAAGAATATCAATCGATTACATAAAAAATAAGGACAGCACATTAATGACTTGCAATGATTCTATATCTAAACCTTCATATTTGGACTTGCTAGTTGATTATAAATGAGTTGTCTAATTGATTGGAGCATTTTGCCAATCGATTAGATCATTAATTCGGCCCATGGATTATTTCCATTTTTGTTTTTCTAACTACTATATAAGGGAGGCATACCCTCACTTCAAATCATGTCATTTTCCTAAATTTTCATATTTCTTTGGAATTTATCTTTCTCCCTCTCTCTAGAAATATTTTCTATCACTTCATATTGCATGTGTGCTAGTAAGTGAAGTTTTACTTGTGAGGAAGAAATTTTTGTAAGTGATCGTGATGATCGTTTATATTCTTAAATGTGTGATACTCTTAAAAGATTGAGTTTGTTTCTTGAGATAAATATGTCATTAAATCTTTGTATTTGATTTCTTAAGCTTTTCTAGAAAAGCTTTGTTTTGGTTATTGAGATCAGCCATAAATCTCTAAATATTTCGTTAGCTTAGCCTGGGGTTAAAAAATGTCATTGGTTGGGGATAAATCTGTTAAATCTCAAGGTCAGATTGTATTAAGATTCGTTAGCAAAACCTTCAAAGGTCCAAAATTTAAAGTTAAAATCTCAAAAAAGCCACTTGGAGACAGGACTAGGCCAACGTTCGACCAAATCTGTATAAATCTCTAGCGAATTTTTCTAACCATATACTTTTAATTTTTGCAATTTACTTTCAGTAATTTATATTTGTTGCAAAATACTCACTCAAAATTACTAATAAGATATTAATCGAGAAAGGTATAAAATTAATCACGAATTTTAAATACCATAATTCACCCATCCCCCCTTCTTATGCTTGAAGTCACTTGTCCAACAACACTTTCACGAGAGAGATTTATTTCTTCCTTAAAGCCTTTATCGTGTAATCCACAATACGGCTCGCTTGTGGTTGAAAAGAGAGGTCGACTTCGACTTCAACCGTGTGCGAAAGGATATGGTGAAGGGAATCGAGAATAAACTTCCTAGGTTGGAATACATGAAATACACCATGAAGCCCGTATAGGAAGGTCGATGTTACATTTGTTTAGGATCAGCGTCAATGTTACATTGTGGGATGTGGAATACCAATTGAACCAAATAAAGCATCATCTCAACCATAGCAACAGAGGAAAGATGGTCAGTGTTGAGTATCATCATACAGCAATTAACTAAAGTGGGTATGTTCGATTCACCAACATACAATTTTAAAACGACGATGTTGGGAAAAGAGCATTCTCAATATTAAATCAAAAAAGATTTTTGTTTTCTTAAAAAAGCTTTGACAGAAAACAAAGAAGTTTTATTATTTTTAAATTGTTTAATTAAAAAACAGTTTTACAAAATTAAATCAAACTAAATTTAAATATTTATCTACACTTTCATTTAACACAATAAATAAATATGGAATTTCTTTTATCAATAGAAAAATAAAGATTTAACGATTTCAATTTTTTATGTTTTTTTATAATAAAAAATCATCAAAAACAATTATGGATGTATTATCTAAAACTAAATATAAAACTTTTCCGAGTCATTTGTAAGAAAATATTCCTTCTTTTTTTTCTTTCTAATGTAACCAAAAAATAAATAATAGATTAATAAACCCCTAACAATTTCTACTCCAAAACTGATCAAATTAAATGCACTGTAAAGTTTTATTTCTTCTTCATTTCAAGTGAATGGAGTATTATTGGACATCGAAGAGTTCTTTGAGAGTTTAGTTTCATTAGGTGAGGGGTACTATTTCATTATCCTGATTTTCAAACATTAGTTAGCTTGTTCCCCCTCCTAAAGCTTGTGACTAATTTAACTTCATTTCTTGTAATAAAATACTTTTGGGAACTGGTTTAACCAAGAAACAAAGCAAACACACCCTTGCTTTCTCCACTAGTTTAATAAGTGAATGTACATGTTGAATCCATTCATTTCTTTCTTAATTCAGTTTCTCCCTTCGAGTTGTATACCCTCATAAAGATCCTTTTTCATAGAAATATGATTTCTAGCTACCAATCTCAATTGCCTTTGTATAAATTGATACTGCTATTACTCTCTTCATCTCACTGTACTGCATAACCATTACTGCAACCATTAGAAGACAATTAGCAATTGGAATAGTATTTGGAGAAATGGATTCTCTGGCAATATTTTTCATCTGTTTACTTTCATTATCAAGTAAGTTTAAAACATACATTTTTTTTCTGTTACGGTATCTTATGTAATATTTCATTAAACTATATGCAAATTCTCCTAACTCTACAGGTGCAAAAGCCAGTAGCAATATTGGTGTGAACTATGGTGTGCTTGGAAACAATCTGCCCTCTCCATATCGGTCCATTGAATTACTAACAACAATGAAAGCCGGCCTTGTGAAGATCTATGACGCCAACCCAGATATTCTACGGCTTTTATCGACTACAAAGCTCAAAGTTTCCATTATGATCCCAAACAATGAAATCTCATGCATTGCTGCAAACCAAACCATAGCAGATGAATGGGTGAAAAACAATATCCTCCCATACTACCCGAAAACCCTGATTCGCTACTTACTTGTAGGAAACGAAGTGCTAAGCTACAATACAGAACAAGCTCATAAAATGTGGCATGATCTTGTCCCGGCAATGCGGAGCATTAGAAGAGCACTTAAATCTCAGAACATCAGAGACATCAAAATTGGCACCCCATTAGCGATGGATGTCTTACAAACAAGCTTCCCATCATCAAGCGGGACATTCCGACCCGACGTAAGAGACAGTGTGATAGCACCAATGCTTAAGTTCTTAGACAGAACTAATTCATTTTTCTTCATTGATGTATACCCGTACTTCCCATGGTCACAAGACCCCAACAATATAAACCTAGACTACGCTCTATTCAGGGGAAATTTCACCACAATAGACCCTGGTAGTGGCTTAATCTACAGAAACTTGTTAGACCAAATGCTTGACTCGATTATCTTCGCCATGTCAAAACTCGGATACTCCAACATCCCGCTCATAATATCAGAAACAGGATGGCCTAACTCCGGCGACATAGAAGAACTAGGTGCAAACACTTACAATGCAGCCATATACAATCGTAATCTGATCCAAAGAATGACAACAAAACCAACCATCGGAACACCAGCTAGACCCCGAGTCCCAATACCAACCTTCATCTTCTCACTTTTCAACGAAAATCAAAAGCCAGGACCCGGAACAGAACGACACTGGGGCTTATTACACACAGATGGAACCCCAATTTATGAATTAGACTTAACAGGAAAGAAAACTTTGACACATTCAGCTCCATTACAAACTCCAAAGAAGATTGTATAACTCTAGATCATTTGTAAAATTGGAGTTACATATATTTAACAATAATGTCCTAACCAAATTATGTAATATTGATACATATATATAGTATTGATCAATTGTAAGAAAATTATCATGAACTTATATTTAGTCTTAACAAATTGACATAAATTAGGGCAAAAGAATATATCTCATCGAATAATAGGATAACAAAGTACGATTCATTCCATTGATAAGACGTTAAGAGCTATTACAATATTAGTTTCTCAAGAAATCCAAACAAGCGGTTTGTGATTAACTACATGATGAAAATATCTACACAAACCCTAAGATCAAGAATTGAACAAGATCAAGCACGCTCGCCTCTAATACGCCTTGCGAGCTGGATATCCTTTGGCATGATTGTCACACGCTTGGCGTGAATTGCGCAGAGGTTTGTATCCTCAAAGAGTCCGACGAGGTAAGCTTCAGCCGCTTCCTGGAGTGCAGACACGGCGGAGCTCTGAAAACGGAGGTCCGTCTTGAAATCCTGAGCGATCTCACGAACAAGACGCTGGAAGGGAAGCTTGCGAATCAAAAGCTCAGTGCTCTTCTGGTACTTGCGGATCTCACGGAGAGCGACGGTTCCTGGCCTGAAACGATGTGGCTTCTTCACTCCTCCGGTGGCCGGAGCAGACTTGCGAGCGGCTTTGGTTGCGAGTTGCTTCCTTGGGGCTTTGCCGCCGGTGGACTTGCGAGCGGTTTGCTTGGTACGTGCCATTGCAAAGTACAGAAAACGATTACTAAAAGATTATAACTTGAGGCTAGTTTTCTGTTATATGCTTTGCGAGTGATGATTTTGAAATGAAGAGACTGGTTTGTTATATAGTGCTGTTTTTGTGCCGGTTTTGAAATTGAGAGGATGAATTGGTTATGATTGTAGCCGTTGATTTTAGTAAGATAATCGACGGATGACGTTTGTTTGAGTAGTGAGCATGCGGATAAGTGACGTGGTGGATAAGTGACGTGGCATGTAGAGGAGTTTCGAGCGTGTAATGGTAGAAAACAGCGACGTTAGTGTTAGTTGATTTTTTTAAAATATTGGTTTAATAAATAAATTTTGTTTTAAAATAACAGTTATTTTCACTTTTTAATATAATGATAATTATTATTTTTTAATTATATTATTTACTTTTATTCTCTAGTCTATTTCTAATACATTAATAGAATTAATTTTATAAAAATATAATATTTTATATCAATATTATTATATTCTTTAATTTATATATAAAAATCTTAAATAATAATCATTTTAAAATGTAGAGAAAAATATATATATTATACTTTATTTTAATTTGACATATGGGTTGGATTGGATGTGAAGTCCTTAAAAATAGACTTAGTAGACTTTTTAGTGTATATGTTTGAATATAATTATTTTCACCTATTACATTTCTCAATGCAATCTCACCATGATTTTTAAGAAGTTGGAAATCCTAGTTTTTAGTAGAAGCGTTTTTTTCTTTTCATTCCAATGTGATTTCAAACAGATGCTTACTAATAGACAGGTTTCCATGGCTAATATTATAGGCGGTGGAGATTAGAGGTGATTACTTTTTTGGACTGGGTCCGCCTTGGTCCAAAGTGCAGATAAAGGCCCAGTCCAAGTAAATTTCTCGGAGAATGCTCACAAACGGATCAGCACCGACGTGCCCGACCACAGACTGTAGTCGTTATGTCCGTCATTACCCGCGACACGCAGTGTTCTCGACCAAGGGAACTCCAGCTCGAGTCCAGCTCGAGTACCCTCCCCGTAGGGCAGATTTTGTCCATCTGACCGTTATAGAATCCTCTAAGTTTCGGAAAGACCGCGTCTTCGTCTCTCCTTATTCTTCGCAGAGCACCACCAAGAAGGGGACCACGTGCGGGGCCCCACTACACACGTAGAACCTGGCAGTTCCTTTATTGGACCAGTTCTGGTCAGCCCAATGAGGGGACCTTGGCCCAGCGCTGGGGGCTATAAATACCCTTTGTTCCCAGAGGGTCAGGTATTCATCTATTAAACACCTATACACTTTTTGCCTGCTCATTCTGTCTCTCATTTTAGCATCGGAGTGTCTTGCAGGTACCCCCCTCCCATCTCACTCAAATTCAGTTCGAGCCAGTCGTGACGGTCCAAGTCTGATCCGGTAAGATCAGTGGCGACGTCTGTGGGAAACTAGCTTCCCCGTCTTGCACACTCTCGAAGACCAAAGCTAAAAATCACCTCCTACCGTCATGGCTGACCAAGTTCGGGATGACCAGAACGTTCGTATCGTCGACGCCAACAACAACCTCGCGGATAAGAACGGAATCCCCGACAACATCGGCAACCCCGGCCGTAGCACACTCCCCGGGGGCGCCATCCCCGGGCCCTCGGGCCACCGCGACGGAGCCACTGCCTCATCTTCTTCAGTCCCTCCTCCACTCGAAGAAGACAATACAGCTCCCCCAAACTATCTAGCTGCATAATTTCAGGAGGTCCCTGTCCCTGCCGGGGCAGATGCCACGACCCGAGCATTATTCGCGGCAATCAATCAAACCAACTACCTCATATTTTGCCAGGGGGATAGATTAAGGGCGCTAGAAGACGACAAAAGACCCGCAAGGAGACACAAGAGGCCTCAGACCCCACCTCCTCGAGTAACAGAGGTACGTCTCTCGTCTCCCCCGCGGAGACAATACAGAAACACCTCCCGAAGCCCGTCGCCCCGACAATCGGGGAGACGACCCCCTTGGAGAGGCAACCCATCATTGAAGCTGGAGGGCGCAACCACGGCCCCTTACGGCAAGAAAGAGGACACCCTGGAGACAGGCACGGGAGGACGGACCAACGAGCATCCCGCTCGAGGGGCATCCAGCACGACCAGGACCGTCGGGCCTGACAATATCTCAGGTCCCCGTCCCTATCTCCAGAGCAAAGTGACGAGGACGACCCCCGCGGTCCCCTGTCACAAGCCATCATGGAGGCGCCCATTCCCCCGGGCATGGAGAAGCCTCCACATCTGAAAGAATACGACGGAGTCGCGGACCCAATCGACCACATAGACGGGTTCGAGGCTATGCTGCATTACCATAATGTTGGGGGACCCATCAAATGTCGGTTGTTTCCCATGACCCTCAGGAAGGCAGCAATGAATTGGTATAAAGGTCTCGCCCCGGGATCAATCACCTCGTGGAGAAACCTGAAGAATCAATTCATAAGTTCGTTCACTGCGTCTCAGCGACATCCAAAGACCGAGGAAACGCTCGAGGCCATCGTCCAGAGGCAGGACGAGACTTTGAGAGAATTCATCAACCGCTTCAATCGCGAAGCCATTCAGGTCCCCTGCACAGACCACATGAAAAGGTACCTGCTGGAGAGGGGGCTCCTCCTCGACACGGAGTTCCAGAAAGTAGTGGGCATCGAACCACCCCGAACGTTTGATGCTCTCCTCGAGAAGGCCAGAGCCTATATGGATTACGAGGAAAGGGAAGCGGCCAACAGAGCCTGTGACCCCAGAACTCACGGATCCAGCAACAACCCGCGCCAAGAAGCAGCTCCTCTTCGCCGAGTCGGGGAGAAAAGAAAGGAGGACAGACCCCGAGAAGCCCGAGAACAGAGAGGACCCTCGGGGTGTTTCACATAATACACTCCGCTAACGGCTTCCCACGAGCGCATCTTAGAGGAGTGTGCCAGCATGAATTTTAAAGATGGCAGCGTCAAGCGCCTTCGACCAGCTCCTGCCAAGCCTAGGGTAGACAAGAGCAAATACAGTCAGTACCATAGGAGCCATGGCCATCTGATTGAAGACTGCGTCCACCTCAAGGATGCCATCGAAACCTTATCAAGGGAGGGAGGCTCTCCCAATACCGGCAAAACGACGCTCCTTGTTGCGACTCCCGGGAGATAAGAGAGCCGGAGGAGGATGCTCGACCATCTGACGAATCGATTCCCATCCAAACCGCCTTCTCCGTCACAAGACCTGAGGACTTCTACATCCCCGAACACCTGCAAGAGCCGCTTACAACACACAGCAGGTAGGAGTACTTTCCCTCCACCATGGTCATCAATGGTGGAGGATTCAACGACCTAACCATAAATTCAGCCAAGAGGAAGCTGGATGAACTGGTCGACTCTGCACCTCCTCAAACGGTGACTTTTGAAAGGGTGAAAGGTAGGTCGGAGCCTATCACCTTTTACCTCGAAGAGCTCCCCGGAGGAGCCCCCAATGCGGTCATTCCTCTACTAATAAGAGCGAGAATGGCTAATTTTGACGTACACGCATTCTCGTCGACGAAGGAAGTTCCGTCGATGTAATATACAGTCAACCGTTCCGGACCCTACAGCTCGACGACTCACACCTCTCACCTTATGTGGGGTCGGACCTACAAGGCTTCAACGGCTCGACCTCTAAACCTTGGGGATACGTCGAGCTCATGGTTACTGATCTTACCTGATTAGACTTGGACCGTCACGACTGGCTCCGAGCTGAGGCTGAACGAGATGGAGGGGGTACCTGCAAGGCACTCCGATGCTAAAGTGAGTGGTAGTACGAGCAGGTTCAAAGTGTGTGTATGGGTAAGAGAATGAATACCTGTCCCTTTTAGAACAGAGGGTATTTATAGCCCTTAGCACTGGGCCAAGGTCCCTTCATTGGGCCGACCAGGATCGGCCCAATAAAGGAACTTCCAGGTTCTACGTGTGTAGTAGGGACCCACACGTGGTCTCCTTCCTGGTGGTGCTCTGCGAGTAGTACGGATGGACGAGGACACGGTCTTTTCGGAGTTCAGGTGATGGAGTAACGGTCGTAGTTTGCCCTACGAGGAGGGTGCTCGAGCTGGACTCGAGCTGGACTGTATGTGGTCGAGGATGTTGTGTTCGCGGGCACGGTGGGCACGGCTGTAGCTTCTGGTCGATGCGCTCCTTGTAGAGCTGTTTGGATTGGGCCTTCATTCTTGCTCTTGGGCCAACTCGGGCCCAGTCCAGAACAGGAGCCCCCCAAGTCGTGGCTCCTGGAGCAGGA